CCATCCTTCTCAATAGGTTTTGGAGTTCTCTCTCTTTATGCTACTTGTAAAATTCCATAGTGAAACATAATTGAAATTTAAATAGAGTAATAAGAAGACAGCGTACAAAATGAATTTAAATTCTATAGCAAATTTAACATGTTCAAGTGTGACAGTATTAATATTACTGTCATCTATTATGATGTTTGATGCATGTATACACATAGATCCAAGGAAGGATTTTCAGCACGTGAAGTTTAATAGTTAAAATGATACCAGTAATGACATTTTGCTATAGCGTGTCAAAAAAAGAGATCCAATTTGACTGTCAGTACGTGTGATATGTCAAGTTGTCAAATTTTAAGTGGTAGATGATAATAAATCTTGATAATAAATCTTGTCAAATCTTATTCTTCACTGACAGATTTGATTCATAGTACAACTCAAGTTTTATCCATAATTGTGAAAACTGCTCAATAACATTTAAAGCATGTGCCTATTGTTTAGGATCTAATACAACACAAAATAAATTTCTGGATGAGGATTCATCCATTCATAGATGGATATAGTACAACATATTTTAATGTGTCTTATTTATACTCTTTAAAGTTCTTGTAACAATTCCAAAATATATACAAAATATTGATGAGAATGCATCCTTTCTAGATAATTTATAAAATATAATATCATATCTCTAATAACAGAAATGTTGATAGGTGCTAGTTATATCATCATTAAAATATACAAAATAAAGAAGCATAATTTACATATAATAATAATGATAAGATAAAATAATATCAAAGATATTGTGATGGTTGAGATTTAGGTTATTTGGAATGAACGGCCAGGATGAGAGATTGGTTAGGGTTAGGGCAGCCAGATTAGGTTACTGTTTGCACTGTGAGTGGAGCGCGCGAGAGATCAAGAGATTGAGCACGAAGGAGATCGAGGGATTGAGCACAAAGGAGATCGAGGGATTGAGCGCGAAGGAGATCGAGCGATTGAGCGTGCAAGAGATGGAGAGATTGAGCATGCGAACGGGAGAGATTGAGTGCTCAAGAAATCTAGCATGATCAAGAAATCGGGAAGGAAAGATGCCACCAAGGGTGAGTTTCAGTTTGATTGCTTCCACTTTCTTTTTTTTTCTCTTGCTTCTTTCTTGATTGCTTCTTTAGGGCCGGCCACCTCGGGCAGTTTTGCCTGCCGAGGGGCCGAGGTTATTCAAATTAACCTCGGCCCCTCGGCGAGCAAAACTACCCAAGGTCTAGCACGGGCCCGCCACCTCGGGCAGTTTTGCTGGCCGAGGGGCTGAGGTTATTCAAATAACCTCGGCCCCTCGGCGAGCAAAACTGCCCGAGGTCCAGCGCGGGCCGGCCACCTCGAGTAGTTTTGCCGGCCGAGGGGTTGAGGTTATTTGAATAACCTTGGCCCCTCGGGTGGCCAAACTGCCCGAGGTCGAGCTCCAGCCGGCCACCTCGGGCACTTTGGCTGCCCAATAACCTCAGCCCCCTGGGCAACCAAAGTGCCCGAGGTGGAGTCTAGGCCCACTTGATTTTTTTTCTCTTTGACTGTTTGAATTTCTTATTATCTTCATTTATTTTGACTAACAAATTTTTTTCTCTTGCAGAAAAGGAAAATTGTAACACATAAAAAGGTTGTTGGAGCCAAGAAGACATGAGAAGTTCAATTCGGTACTGATGACGACATCACGATCAACATATCCATTGGCACAACAGAGACACATTTACTTAGAGATTCACCGCCTCCACCACCATCACCTCCGCCATCACCACCTCCACCACTGCCATCGCCACCTCCACCACCTCCATCACCACCTCCACCACCGCCATCGCCACCGCCACCACCACCATTGCCACCACCACTGCCACTATTGCCTCTGCCACCACCGCCACCGCCACCACCACCATTGCCACCTCCAACTTTACTCCTCACTAGCCCACCACCAACACAAATCCCTGAAATTAGGCAATCTAGTGGTGTTCAGGATAGGGAACCTGAGGAACAGCCTGGAGCTGAAAGAGTTGCAGACCTTCCTGACAACATGGTGGACAAGCGCTTCCAAGAGACTGTTATGCAGACAAGGGAAAAAGCAGTTCACCAAACACTTGAGGCACTCAAGTGGCCAAGCCCTTGTGACTTGATCAAAGAAATCCCACTTTGCCATTTGCAGCAGACGAACCTTGTCCGCACAGCATCCAAGTATGTCAACCCGGATATATACAGCTTGTTCAAACAAAATGGCCTTGCAACAAACATCAGTATGTTTTTAGTCTCTTTTTGCAAGCCAGGAACAACGGAGATCATTACCGTCACACCCGAGATTGTGAATAGCTGGGATCCTATTTGGAGGAGGAAGTCCCTAGAATTTGATGACATGCTTATCAAACATCCTGAGACTCGACAGCTTATGGGGACAATGTTCCAAATTATTGACGGTAACCACCGATATGGAGCTTGGATGAACTATATCGATGATCATTTTTGCGATGATCTCGTCTACCATATCAACGTTCCAGTCGGCCATGTCTATGCGAGGGGACCTTTGGATGTCAACAGACTTATCTTGGCCTGCCAAAAGATCAATGCGTAAGTTTTATAGTTTACCTCTAACTCCACTTTAACTTGTTTTGTTGTGTTTAAATGCAAGCTTGGGCAATTCGCTATTCAAAAACAAAACCTTGTCCATAACATCGAGCAACTTCGATTTTTGGCAGACTTGAGTGAGGATGACATCTGCCAACATTATGGTGATGATCTCGCAACACTTGTTCGACACTCACGCACTCGAAATGACAGTACAACTTGGTTCAACAACCCAATCAGTTTTATGCTCGTTGTGTGGTGTAAGGTATGTCTTTCCCTTTTATTTTATAAAAGCTTCTTTTAATTGTTTTGGTTTTTAGCCTTTGGTGAAGGTCAAGCAAGATGCTTACGAACTTGCATATTCAGAGAAGAGTCGGGAAGAGTTCTCAGCTGAGTTCATTCAAATTGAGCACAAAATTTGGCATGCAAAGTCCTCGAAATTGAAGAAACTAGTATGCATAGCAGACAATCATAGACCGAAGAAGTGGCTAGAGACTATAGCCGAAATTTCTTCTCATGAATGTAAGTTTCTTATCTCACTTCATTTTTCTCAATTATGCACATGTTACTTTTGTAGTGAACAAAACTCCAGATGACATGATTTACAATATCGCAAAATCGAAGCTTCTATATAAGCAATAGATAGAGACTCTAGAGTTCCTCAATGTCTTCTTGATGAACAAAGAGAAAGGACTACCAGAACTATTTGAGAACATGATGAGAAGGGCTATCTACATCACACAAACTATAAGTGAAGGTGAGAAGTTCTTGGCACCACACATTGGTGACAATCCAAATGGCACATTCATGTCTTTCGACATCTACATCAACACGTCATTGGAAGGGATCGAAGAGGGGTGGCTACCAGAAAAGTCTACAAGCACAACAATTTATGATTGCCAACATGGTCAACCTTATTTTATGCGACGTGCAGCTTACAGGTATAATATGATTTCTAAGACTGTTTTTTAATATATATTGTTTACAGGTATCTTCGATATAGAGGCATGCCATTTGAGACACCAGTTTGCACTCGACTTGTTGCAAAGGGTGTAAGGGATGAAAGAATGTACCCAACAATGTTTACGAGAGTTTCAAAGGCATGGAAGACAAAATGCCCTTGGGAGTTGGAGCTCCTAGGGAAGGAGACCTCTACACTAGATCACGAGGAAGTTGTCAATGCTAGCAACGATGGCAATGCAAGTGACGATGGAGACGAGGATGAGGAAGCTCCAGATCAAGTTCGTGTTCCACCACCAGACAACCAGGATTATGCTCCAGTTCAACCATCAAACAACCAAGATCCAGATCAGGTTCTACTAGTAAATAACGATGATCAAGTGGTTCACAGAATATCACGTCGACCTCGAGGTAAGAAAAAGTGAATTTTACAAACATAAGGTGGTAATACATGTTTTTTGCAGCAATGACTGTTGGTAGTAATTTCATTCCAGCTCGACAAGATGCTTGTGAAGAGGAGTTGGAGGAACTCTTATTGACAATACGCCATATGACGGTAGCATACTATTTATTGTTTTTTTCATTCACTTAGCTCTTTTATAGGTCCGTCCTGTGTCCTCAATAACACAACGAGGCATTGTGGGTATCTTCATTGGCTCTTACAGTAGATTGTTGACATCTTTCATAGAAGACGACATCAACATGGATATACAACACCAGTTCAACCGTTGGTGTCGAAAGATACAAAGGCCCTTGCTCCCAATTGCGGACTTCATTCTCTTCGACTTTCCAGATGGTCTTTCACATATCAATGGGAAAATTGAGGATTGGAACTTTCTCACACCTGACCACATACGCAATGCATTCCTATTGTCCGAAGCACTTATGCTCGAAGCTGGCCATGTCGTCTTCATCCTAGCGAATGACCCCAACTGTATGTATGAGCTTATGACATGCGCAGCAGAAGTTCATTTCAAGTCATTCTCTTCTGGGTGCATCATGGATCCTATTGGCGTTGATATGAGGGGTGTCCAAGGGAAGCCTGAAAAGGTGAGTACATAGGAGCCATTTGCACTTGCGCTTTATAGAAAAATATTTTAAAATGTGTATTTTAATTTTTGTGACTGTTGCATTCGCACTTCAGTAGTTTTTAGGTTGTTTTAAGCTTTAAGTATGCATTTTAAAACACTTTCATTCCCACCTGCATAAGTTTTTGTGGTAAAAATTTAATGTAAAACACTAGTAACTTCGCACTTGACTTACTTTAAAATGTCTTCAAAATAGCATTCGAACATGTTTTAAAATATTTTAAAATTTCAAATTCAAATCAAATTCAAAATGCTAACCCTAAATTTCAATTTCAAATTTCAAATTTCAAATATTAAACTTTAACATAGCAATCACGCAGTTCTACGACACCGCAAACATAAGAAGCCGGTTAGGTTCTCTCAGACCTCCTATGCATCCTCCGGCCCATGCAAGTTTTCCTGTGGTTCTCCCTCAGCCACAATAGGATCCCCGTAATCTTCAAAAATCTCTACTTCTTTCAAGGCTTGAATGTGTTTCTCCCATGCTTTGATCTCAGCATTGATGTTTGTCTCACCAACATCAATCAAGAAGTTGTGCAAGATGCAACAACTTTTGATGATGTTCGGCAGGTACTTCGGCTTGATCCTTTGTTTTTGATCCAAGCATTTGAATTTCATTTTCAGGAGTCCAAATGCTTGTTTAATAACAATCCGGGCCAGATGGTGTTGCTGGTTGTACTCCGCCTTAGTCACCGTCAACCGGGAACCTGTTTCAAATGAATAATTGAAAAAAAAAAAAAAACAATCAGCTTACCCAAGTGAGGGATCATCAAGTGCTGCTGCAGCTGGTAGCCTTTGTCTCCCACCAGGTATGGCTCAATCCACTCGTCAAAAGCAAACTCTCGAGGAACTGTGAGTAATTCCCTCGCTTGGATCTTGTGGCATAGCCTGGAGTTCCGAAAAACCCTCATGTCATGAACACTCCCTGGAAAAAAAAAAAAAACAATTAGATGTATAGAAGAAAAAAAAAGAAGTAATTACCTGGCCAGCCTGCATAGATACTCAAGAACCTTTTCTGAGCGTCACAAACCCCCTGCAAGATCACCGAGTACCGTTGCTTTCAATCAAAGTAGCCCTCACCATCCGGACCAACTGGTCGAATAATCTCAAAATGTGTACAGTCGATCGCCCCAGCCACATTAGGGAGACGAGTCTTGGTGATTTGCTGAAAATCTGCTGCCATAGCTCTAACCTCCGCTGCTGTCTCTGGGAATCGAATCTTGTACCTGAGGCACTTGACGATTGCAGCAGTTGTCTACACCACAATGTCATGTGCAATGGCTTCCCCGATCCCAAACTTGTCAGACAGGTCGGAGTAGTCGGTGTTCTTGAACAACTTGTACAAGGTGACCCCCAAACGAACATCCACTGGCACTACTCTCCTAAACTTTGTATCTTGCTTGTAAATTTCAGCCTCCAGAATGCCACAAAGCTTGAAGAACATCTTCTTCTCCATCCTTAGCTTCCGCTTCCATCGACCAAGGTCATACAACTCCATGAAGAACTTGCTCCATGTTGTCATACACCGCGGCTTCACCCACCAGAGACCGGCGTCAAGTCGCTTGGACAAGACTGCTCGACAAAGCTTGTCTTCGTCCTCCTCCTCGTCCGGAAGAGTTTGTGCCACTGGGGTCTTGTCATCGATAATGGATTGAAAAGCCTCCACAGCGAGAAACAAAACTTGCAAAATAAGCAAGATTACCTTGTTCCTCAATAAGGCATCGATGACTGCTGCTTGATTGTTGAAAGAACCACGTTCCTCCTGAGCATCTCTTTGGTTTTCCCTGGAACCATCTTCTGTTTCCTCGGGTTGAACTATTGCAAGATCCTGAAAAAAAAAAATGGTTAGAAAAATCTAAAATATCATAGCCTAAACATAGTTTAGTTTAATATTAATAATTAACGTCCCCCTAAAATCCCGAAAACAAGACGGCTAACTCCTGGATGCAGCCCCGTTCAAGAAGTTGGAGATGGAGCTTGCAAAGTTGGAGATGGCTCCAACTAAAACTGTTGCAACTGCAGCCTTTTCCTTCTCAGCCAGGCTATTCTCCTTCATGCAAACAATGCTCTCCTTTTGCCACGCTAGATTCTACTCATTTCGAGCAGCAGTGAGAGCATTCCCCTCAGCAAGTAAAGTTGTCATGTTTTTCTCGGCCTTCTTCGGGTTCTTCCGCTTCCCTAAACTCCCTGGCACCTGTGTAGCATCTCCAGGAGGATCAACACCATCCGCGGGATCCTCCTCGTAAGCTTCCTCTTCCGGAGCATCTGAATCAGCAAGAAATGTTGGAGATGTTGATGCTTGCTTCGCTAGGAATTCATCCATGATGTTGAAGTACTCGACTGGGAACACCTTCAAGTTCAGCTTCACCGGCATAAGTCGCTTCGCATCCTCGTGGCTCAAGCTAAAGTAGTCGGGGTTTCCAGTTTTCCTCTGGAAATCGCAAACACACTTGTAGTCGTTGCAAAGGTTGTTCTAGCGAGTCCGGCAAGCCTTCCAGTCCCGCTGCATGCCAGCAACCTGCATCTTCTTCGCAATCCTCTTCCAACGATCGGTTGCTGTCAACATCATCTCCTCGCTGCCCCGCATTGCCCCGATCTTTCCAAGGTGATCTTCCCATTTGAAATCAATGAGGGAAGCCGTCTCATCATCTCCCCAATTTTTCCCACATTTCTTCCTCATTTTCTTCGCGACATGAACACCTGCCTCCCCTTCCTCATTGTCATCGCCCTCCTCTTCATCACCCCGATCATCTTCTTCCACCTCCTGTTCAACGGCAACATCGTCCTACTCCTCCAAGTTATGAAACTAGAACTGCATGTACTGTTGTCCTGGTGACTACTCCTGCTCCAGGTCACTTACTTCGCCACCCTAAACCCGAAACCACTCTCCTAGAATCTGAGCTAAACTCGGTTTGAAGCTTACCTTGTTAGTTGTCGTAGAAGAGAATTCAGAGAACAATCGAGTTCTAGAAGCCATTGGGGGAGAGGCTCCAACTCCCTGTGCTACAGCTCCCCGTGCTCCAGCTCCCTGTGCTACAGCTCCCCGCGCTCCAGCTCCAAGTCCGCCCTGATTGAGGCCAAGATTCGAGAGATCGGCATCTCCATGGCCTCGGCCTCGAGGCGGCCTGCCTCCTCGAGCAACAGCTGGGCCTGGTGCTCGTCCTCCAGCCCCGGATGCTCCTCCACCATGGTTGCTCGTCACTCCACAAGCAGCACCTCCTCGCTGGATGCCACTGCCCCGAACCTGCACCATCTCCTCGTCAAACCCTACAGCTCCTCCTTCCCCAAAATCGTCTGCTCCTCCTTCCCCAAAATCAGCTACTCCTCCTTCCTCCACCAAATCCCCAACAGGATCTAACCCTAGGGCGATGACTGCTGTCAGCTCCCCCGCCATAAAATGCTTGAGCTCACGGCAGCTCACAGCAAAAAACTGAAGCGCCCTAATCAGGGCGCTGGAATCTTTGGGGAATCTCGGAGATTCCTTTTAAAAATATTTTAAGTTTAAAAGAAGCCCCCCCCCAATCTTTTAAAATCGGTCTGAATGTTTTAAAAAGTGAAAACATTGTGTTAAAGTTAGCACTATGTGCGAATCAAAATGTTTTAAGAAAATATCCTAAATTTTAATGTAAAGTAATTTACTTTATTTTAAAACATAGTGCGAATGTATTCATCACTTAAATTTAACACATTTCAAGAATAAAGAGCAGGTGCGAATGGCTCCTATGTATTTTATATTTTTATCTAATTTCTAAACATTTTTATTTTCTAGGTTATGATGTGGACCTATCATGCCTTCTGCAAAAACATACATGATGGGTTTCGTGATAGCAAACGTGCAGCACGTGTTTTGCCTGGGTACAACAGTTCCACTAACATCATACCCAACCTTGTGGATGAGCAGATCCACAACATGTTTCCAAGGTACCAATTTTGAACTCCATCGGCAATGCAAGTTTTGCTTGAGCTCTATTACCCACCAGATGGTGTTGTGATTGATTGTAGAGCAGGTAGTGGTTCTATGGTGGAAGTAGCACATGACTCTGGTAGGTCGGTGTTTGCTATTGAAGAACATCATTTCTTCAAACGCCGGCTTAGAGGATTTTGTGAGTTGCTTGTAAGCAACCAAAGGGAACGACTCGAGAGACGATCCATGGGGTTCAAATATAGAGGGAAAGGGCCCATGAACAAGAGTGCACCCCCTTTTCCAATCGGTTAAGGGTCTTGGGATATTTGGGGTTAAGCGTCCTTGGGTTTGAATAGTACTGGGCTGGGTGACCTCCCGGGAAGTCCAAATTCAGGAGCTTACATTGCTTCGAACCTCAAGGAGGTAAATTATGTTTATTAAAATTTCAATATATGTTTAATTCTAATTTATAGATCATAGTCACCTGGAGTTTCTAGAATTGGAGGCTTTGGAAATCTCCCTGACTATGCAGAAGCCATAGCTCAACATATGCAAGGTGAATCTTCCCCACAATACCAATATAGGAGGAAGTATAAAAGAAATCATTATGTTGATGATGAGGCAGAAGAAAGTTAATTGCATCCTTACATAAAATAGAAAGCTTGTTATATGTTAGATGTCAGTGAAAGTGTTAGATGTTAGTCAAAGTGTCAGATGTTAGTAAAATTGTCAGATGTTAGTGTCAATGTCAGATATCATAATTGCAAATTATCATTCTCACATGTCACCATCACTTTGTAGCGCTTGTGTGTTGCCATCTCCTCCTTCAACATTTTGTAAACAATTATATGTGATATGATAGCACCTTCTAGAACAAGGTATGTTACCTACAACTAATATCATTTTATTATATTTTTATTTTAATAGTGACAATACTATAGTATAGTAAAGTAATTCTAGATTTTACATTCCATTGTAGGGTGGCCTAAAAACCCCATATTTTGCACTAGCCGATGTAGTGTTTCCCAAGGGGATGTTATTCCTCACCATGAAGTGATAGTGGGTATGTGTCCGTAATTTATTCTTGAATCTATTGTACATCCACATGTGCACATTTTCCAGACCTGCCGTTGGGCAATTCCTACAGTGCTCAAGAAAAGTTTGTAAACCCATAGAGCCATTTGTCTTGTCCAAGAAAAAGTAGCATATTGGACACCGAATGTAATAGCGTTCTGTGCTTTCAAATAATCTTGCCATGTCAGGAGCAAGATCTTGCAAAAACATGTGGCATTGCTCTTGAAGCGCTGGAAGCAACCCCTCTCTAGCAGTAAGATTCGGAATTTCACATATAGAGAGCTCTAGTTCAACTTCACTAGAGCCCTCAGCAGAAAAAAGATTATTATGTGGAGGTGAAAGTGGAATGTTAGTAGAACTTGGGGATGGAGGTGGAGATTGATATGAAATGCTGAGGGGCCAAATACGAGTAGCAATGGCTCTCCTTTGAGCCATTTCAATACAAACTTCTAAAGAGCTCAAGGAAAACAAAAAACCTACGATGACTACAACTTTTCTAAACAGTTTATATACTAAGTTTTAGTCTTGGGAATGAGGTTTATTTATTATGACACTGACAATATTCAGATTCTTTAAATATCAATCTTGGAAATAGGGCTTTATAATCATAGCTTTCTTGTAAACATAAGAGCTTCTAGAATTTTAGATTATCGTGCATACACATGCTCTATCATTATCATGAATCTTACTTTGCTACACATATATTCTTTTCTACACATGCCAAATGTCTAGGGAAATAAACTACAAGGAAATATAGACCATATTATAGTGGCAGAGCACGTTGGCACACTACCATTCTCTCATATGAGATTGCCTTTCAGTCTTGGAAATGTAGAAAAAGTTGATTCTTTGATGTGATATTACTTTTGAGTCTTTCGAAAGATTTCAATTTCTTTTATTATTATTTACAAACAATTCCTGAAAACTTTTAATGAGGATTCATTGAAAAATATACCTTGGTCTTATCATATGAGAGGATTGCGATATAGGTAGGCAACAAAGTTTTTAATATGAATTAATATGTAAATTACAAATGTTATGGAAAGTTTTATAGAGTAGATTTCTTGATGCTTTTCGCCATGCTGTTCATTTCTTCATTTCTCTTGCTCTGGACTGTTGTTTCAGAAGTAACAGAAGCATTTTTATCAATCGTGATAGTGGTCTCCACATTCCCAGATGAGTAATAAGGACCAGGAGTGTAATAT